TACGGAGCTTTCCCTGAACCCCCAGTCAGCCACTTCTCTTGTTCCCAACAGCACCTTGTATATGGGAATAACAATAACAATAACAATAAAATGGCAGCTACTGTTGATTCAAACACCAATGTGCTGAGCATAGTTATGATTCGAGCTACTGAATCTTCCCAATGACTCTGTGAAATGAGCACTTAACAGAAATACAGCTCAGAGATGTCAATCAACTTGCCCAGTCACACAGCAAGCAAGGAGTTAGGCTGGCCACCCAGCCCTGACCCGGCCATGTGGAGTCGCATGCACTCTGGTGTGGTTATTACTCAGTGGCTGGGAGAATCTGTTAGCTCTTCCCAGGTAGGATGGTATCTGGTATCTCACCTGGGCCAGCAACTGACCCCAGGTGGCCACCTGCAAAGGGCTGGGGGCTGGGGCAGGACAGTTACAGTTATTTCATACTGCAACAATAGACCCATGGTACAGATGAAGAAACTGAGGTCCAGAGAGGTTAAGCATCCTGGCTGAGGCTATGGAACCAAGTACAGACTTCAAAGCAGATCCTTCTGTCACTTTTTCCCAGAAAGCCTCTGAGGCTAGTTTAGCAAACTCCAGAGAGAAGGGCACGCTCTCTGCCAGGCTCTGCTGCGTGGGGAAAACATAGACTTAGACCGGGAGACACAGAGGACACACAGCCCACAGTGGGTTGTAAGGAGCGGGGTGGGGACAGGGGGGTCACTGCTGCCAGGGTGGAGGAAGTGGGTGTCGTCAGTTCAACAATTTAGGCCCTGCCCCCCCAAAGCCACAGACATTAAAACTGAGATCTGCCCTGTCCCCATGGCCACATGGGAGCAGGCTTCCAACAAAGCAAAAGGGGGTGGGGATGGTGGGTAGGGATGGGGAAGTGGGAGGAGCCGGACCCTTAAAGCGAGACTCTGTGATTATAAGGAGGCTGCAGGGAACCACGCCCACAAGGGGCCGGGAGCCCAGGGGGAGGTGCTAGCGTCCGCTGCTTGGGGTTTTGTCTTTGTTTCTCTGATTTCCAAATTCTCAGTCATGGCATTCAGTTTCTTTTAAAATGAAAACAATAAATTTATTATTAAAAAAAGAAAGAAAGTGCTTGGGAGCCTAAGGGGGAAGTGAGGAGGCTCATGGGAAAGTCAGCTCAGCTGATGGGGGCACTCCAGGGCCACCACACATCAGGCCTTTGACAGCCTCCTCCTAAGTAAGACCCAGCTGCGGGAGAATGTCTTGGACCCTGATTAGGATTCCACAGGTTGGGAGAGGACACAGAGTAGGTCTCTGTCCCTCCCCCAGTCTTCTGGTCCAGGCCTTCAGCTCTGGCCTCAGCTACCTCCCGCAGGTTCTCCATCTCCACCCTCAGCCTACCCTAAGCTCTACTGCAGTCACTGTATCCTTTCCTACCTAGAAGCTTCCGTGGCTCCTTACGGCAGACACGGTGAGGATGACTTAGGCACATGGACCAGCTCCTACCACCAGCTGGACTCACTGCTTGTCCCACGGTACACTGACCAGCCAAACTGATGGTTCCTCTCACCAGTGTCCACTTCCTTCTTGCTTCCTCCCAGTTAAGGATGCCAGGGCCACTTCCAGCATCCTCGAAGGGGATGAATGATCCCAACTCCTCCCATGGGTCCTGGGGCACAGGCTGTTTTACCTGGAAACATATGGGGTCTGCTACCCCATGTGGGATCTGTCCCCTGTGTGCCCTGCATGTCCATCATCCGAGCACTGTCCACAGCAGAGGCCTTTTAAGCTGGCAACATCTAGTGCCTGAATGAATGAATGAATGAATGGATGGATGAATGAAGGAATGAATGAGTGTACATGCATGATTAGTGAAAAGAACTAAAGATATTACAGCCTAGACAGAAGAAAGTGTCCCCCCCCTGAGTGACCCCTGCATCACACTCGGTCCTGGGGCCCATATCTACCTGATCTCATTCTGATTGACATGAGGAGGGGCTGCTTGTGCGCTGACCCTAATAGATGCAAACAGCTGATGAACACAGTCACCAGTTCTGCCTCACTAGCCACGAAAAGTCAACGAGCTTCACCTGCCACAGGAGCAAAAAGAACTATGAAAACGCTGGCGAGGATGTGGTGAGGCTGGCACTCCCGTGATGATCCGTGGGAGTATAAACTGGAACACACATTTGTGAGCAGAATCTACCCTTAGTGTGTCAAGAGCTCTAAAAGTAGTCAGACCTCCTGGCCTAATGTGCCCAGTCCTGATCATCCATCCCTAGAAAACAGCCCAAAGATCCATGCACAACACTGCCCGGGTCCATGGGTTTTCATGAGCAAAGACCTGGAATGGCCCAACTTGCCAGCAATAGGGAGAGAGCCCTGAAATGGTTCTCCTCTGTGACAGCCCAAAGTGGCACTGCTGTCACTTGTTCAACGTGCACATGAGGCTCAGAGGAACCAGGGGCACAGAGGGTCTACGCAACTGCCCAAAGCCAAGCAGGGAATGTGGGATTCTGATCCAGACTATCTACATGGGATGTGGAGCCCAGGCTACCACACCCACTGAAAAGCATGGTTGGTAAAACTCCCTGGGCAATTAGGAGACACTCAGGATACAGAGCCAGGAGGACAACAAAAGAGAAAATCCCACCCAAGACTGAATGCTGGGAGGAAAGAGAACTGTGTGCTAACAGTGGGGGAGCGTGGGGTTAGGAACAGGGCGGAGACGGGGCTGGGGGTGGAAGTGCTGACATCCATCTTTATGACTTTCCTACAGTGTGGCTACCTAGCTGTCTTGAGGAATGTTTTCTTTTAATAAAATGAAAGCTTTTGTAAGCTTTGTTTGGCAAAGTAAGGCACCCTGGCTTCCTATTCAAAGAGGCACGCTCTCCCAAAGTCCCCAGAAGATAAGCTAAGGGTCCCACTACAAGCTGCAGCACCACCAGGCCCCCAGGCACATGGGGGGGGGGACAGTTAGGAAGGGACTCAAGTCCCATGGCATCCAGGGGCTCCAGCCAGGAAGACAGACCAAGGGACAGCCAGCCTGCCTGTCACCCATTCTCCCGCTGAAAGCCCTTTCTTTATAGGTGCCATTGCTTGGAGGAACCCCACAGCTGATCAGCCAAGGCCTCTGCAAGGTCCCGTTGGCCACATTCATCCCTGTCACCCAGCCTTGCCCTCATCCTTCTGCCCTATAGCTCCTGCGGCTCCCACCCCAAACAAGCTGCTTTCCTATGCCAGCAGGTCCACCCATCTGAAGGCTACATCCTGAGCTAGAACCCTGGCATCGAACCTCAGCCCAGGTCACACTGCCATGGGTGGATGGTCTGGTCATTTGTCTATCCAGCTGCCCATGTAAGCAACGGGCTGGCTGAGGACAGCTTATCTGAAGGCTCGTGGTAACATTCCCTGTTCCTCAGTCAGGTCTCAAGGCTCAACTGACAGGTCTTAGGTTCAAGGCCATTTCTTCTGATCATTCCCTACCTAACAGGAATCAGGCCACCAGTTCCACACTCCTGTGTCTTCTACTTTTCCTTTCTCGTACCTCTAAATATGCTAGTCTCCCCAGCAGCCAAGAGTTACCCTCAAGGCTAGGATCATGGCAGAGCCATGCACCCACCAAATTAGAGTTGGGCAGGGCCCAGTCCACATTAGCACTCCACAAGGCCCTGAGGACCCTCCATAAGGCAGGGTCTCTCTGTGCCAGTGGAGCAGAGGGGTGCAGGATCATTCCCAGGACAGAGAGGTAACACAGCTAGCTCCCCAGATGAACAGAAGGAACTACACAGGCCAGGAGGCAGGAGGGCCCGGAACAGCATGCTGGTCTGGAGTAGGTAGGGTATAGGGGAGGCACAAGGCTGGGAGCCAGAGTTCATGCAAGGCAGGAAGGTGATGCCCTGAGCAACTGAGGGCAAGGTTTCCAGCAGACAAACCCTTCTGTGGCCACGGGAATGGCCAAGAAAGGACAGGCCAGAGGCTTTGCAAGACAGAGGCTGAGGTGAGACTGATTCCACCTGGCTCTGTGAGACCCACCCACCCACCTATGCTCAAAGGCTCCCTCCTACAGCACCTCTGCCCTCCACATTCCCCCATTCCATGAAGCCCAAAGCCCTCGCTACTGCTACTCCAGCTGGGCCAGCCCCAGAAACTGGCTTCTGGGAACTTCCTGTGATGAGCAAGGCTAAGGATCCTGGATTCCATTAGGGCAGGTTTTTGCAGCCCCACAGGCCCTGGAAGGGCTGTTTCCATTGTGATGGCAGAGAGAGCTGATGTCTGCACCCAGTGCCCTCCCTGATCCTCCATCCCTTTATCCTCAGCAACTCCACTCCCACCTCCAGACACCCAGAGATGTCCCGGACCAGGAACCTTCTCCAGGCGGAGACACCACCATCTCACAGACACAGAGCATGGGACTTCCTCTGCTGCCAGCTGCCCCAGGGAGGACAGGTGGGTGAGGGTGACAGTGACTAACACTTCCTCCACCTAGGTCCCTTTAGATGATTCCCGGGCAATTCTCAAACTCCTCCCAACCTCACAAGAAAGAATCTATGAACAGTTTGAAATGTGGCACGCTCCCAGAAAGATGCCTAAGACATACCTGAGCACCACACTAATGTATCAAAAAGCATACTGCCAGGGCACCTGGGGGGTCCTTACCCTGTCCTTCCATTACAGTTCTGCCCAGCCCCCTAAGCCCTGCCCGCCTGGTTCTCAGGGTACCCTCTGATTTGGGGTCAGGAACAAGGCTCTGTGGGTACTAACCACTTAAGTCCACATTAGTACTGAGCTGGTGAGGGCTGAGGGACCAGAAACTTCTGGTGAGCCTTTCTGGGTCTTCTGAGCCCCAGGAAGTGGGCTCAACCAGTCACAATTGGGAAGGGATGGGCCTAGGCCTTCACAAGAAGGCGGATGGATTTTATAGCCAGAGAGCCCAGGCTTGGGCCTTGGAATAGCAGCAAAGCCCAGAGCGCAAAGCTGCCATCTGTAACCTGACAGGTAAGAGTGGGGGATGTGTGAGGCTGCTGTGAAGACAGTAGAGGTTAACATGTTTAAGGTTGCAGGATGGTGCCTGCTCACGGTATGCCGTCACTGCACACGCTCACCTGAGTATAGGGGCCTTACATTAGTGTCCCGGTGTGTGGGGTGAAGGAGCCTCCGGTGGTTCTTCTGATTTCTCCCCATACCAGGGCTGCTCTGCTAACATGGGTCCATCTGTCGTTCAAGACAGGTCCCAAACTGGGAACCCCAGCATGTGATCCTAACCCCTCCACGAAGTAGTCCCTTCCCTCTCCCGTGTAGGCGGTGTATGGTCAGGTTAGGCAAGGCTCAGGGCCAGCAAAGAGGATGGAGCCCAAGCAGGACTGGGTGGCCATGTGGGTGGGGGCGAGCCCAGGGAAGATCAACTACAAACTGGACCACACTATCCCCAATGCCACCTGGTGACCCACACCCACCCTGGGCTCTCAGGGCTACTGTCTTCTCGTGTTTGTGAGTGGCTCCATTTCTTTAGACAGATGCAGGCAGAGAGTGGGCATTTACCCACAGGAACGCAAGGGGATACTGAGGACTCGCTCAGGAATGGTGACTATATATGTTTGGATGTGTATGTATGACTCTATATGTATGGATATGTATGTATGGATGTGTATGTATGACTCTATATGTATGAATGTGTATGTATGGATGTGTATGTACGGATGTGTATGTATGACTATATATGAATGGATGTGTATGTTTGAGTGTGATGGGGAGTCTCCCTACCACAGCCAGGTGTCCCCCGTCAGAACCCCAGTACCTGGCTAACTAGATTATCCTCTAAGGCAGTGGTTCTCAACCTTCCTAATGCTCAATCCTTTAATACAGTTCCTCATGTTGTCGTGACCCCCAACCATAAAATTATTTTCATTGCTACTTCATAACTATAATTTTGCTACTGCTATGAATCATAATGCAAATATCTGATATTCAGGATATCTGATATGTGACCCCTGTGAAAGGTTCATTCAACCCCCCCCAACGGGGTCATGACCCACAGGTTGAGAACCACTGCAGTCTGAGGAGCCTAAGACCTTTGCCCAAAGCTCAAAACGGAACATTCTTGCTGTCCAGATGGGTGAGGCAGGAACCAACACTCTGAGGGCTCCTTAGGCCTCAGAGCCAAGTCCCTCAGCCTGTCCCTCACACCTGATCGACTAATGGCACTACTCAGGCACCTGCCCAGACCAGGTCAGTCTCTAAAGCCTACTTCAGGTCTTGGGTTCCAGAAAACCCTCTCACCAACTCAGCCCCAACACACTCCCACATCAGTTAGCTTCCTCGGTGCCAGGTGTAGCCCTGTGCACCAGGAATGTTGCCCCATGGTGGAGAAGAGGGTGGTACTGAAGGGGTGCAGCTACTCCAACCAGTGCCCTCAAACCCCAAGGCCAAAGCTGGGCAGCCTGTTGAAAGCTGGCGAGCGGAGAGCTCAGCAGGTAAAACCTCAGGAGACACATACTGGACCACAGCCCCCTCCTCTCCCCTAACCCTGCAGTCTCCCCAGTGGGGAAGAAGACGTCTGGCTTATAAAACTACAGAGGCCCACGACAGGAGTGGAAAGCGAGTCTCCTTTCCCCGAGGACATCAAGCCTGTCCAGAGACCCCAAACCAGAGTCAGCATGGTGCCACAGCGACCGGAGGGGTTCCGGAAATACTTAGCAGTCTCGGTGGACTTTTCATTCATTCATTCACCCCTCACATGTTCAATACCATGCACCAAGGCCACCAGACTGGCCCAGGGGAGAGAAAGAAGCCACTGAAGCCCATGAAACCACAGGGTCAAAGCTCCCGGAAGCTGCTCCTGTACCTTGGCTTCCCAGGGTCGTTCACTGGGAGGTTCGGGAACTCTAAGTTTGGAAAGAAGTAAAGTGTCCTAGCAGTGACAAGGACCCTGGGGGGGGGGGGAAGAGCTCAGTGGAGGGGGTTCTATGAGAGGGCAGAAGCTCTTCGGTCAGGATGCGGGCAGGGATCGGGTAAGGCTGGCCTTCTCCACAACAGCCGTGGGATCTTAAGCAGCCACACAGCACTGATTTCCAGACCCAGGAGTGCCCCCACCTCCATCCCCACCCCACCCTCGCCTCCCCAGGGATAAGTTCCCTGACTTCTCCATGCCTACACTTCCTAGGCTGCCAAAGAGGATGATAACCATGACGACTGTACATTTCCACGTGCACAAAGCCTTGGAGGGCATGTTCTGGCCCAAAGCAAACACTCCTGCATCCACTCCAACCACACCTGTGACAGTCCAAGATGGGGTCACGGTCAAAGTGTCAAAGGTGCTGCTCAGATGTTACAGGTCTGAGTTTGGGAGAGGCTAAGATTCTGAGATTCCACAATTTAATCATCTCATTATTTCCTAACATCAACCCCGAGACTCCCAGGGGAAGATGGCAGACCTCAGTGTAACTTCATCTCCCAGGCACTGCCAGGATACGGGGGCTGCCACCACACCTGGCTCCACAGCTGTTCCTCACCTCTGCTGAAGCCCCAGCCACACCTCACTGGAAGCTCGAGGTGAGCTTAAGCCTGCCTAGAACTTAAAACACGTTCCCCCGGGGGCAGACAGTCAGAAACACAAATAAACAAACGGATGAGAAGGTTTCAGATGCCCAGAGCCACAAAAGAAAATAAGAAGGGGCTCATGTGACAGCAGGGAAGCATTCACAGCAAACGGTCAGCAAAGGCCCCTTTGAGGAGGTGATGTCCCATGGTGCCACCAGCTAGGCAAGGATTCAGGGAAAAAAAAAACATGCCAGGCCAGGGAAGGTGCACAAAGAAGTTGGCGTGGCCAGAGGTGCTAAGAGAAGGGGGTGAGCAGGGCAGGGCAGGACAAGAGCAGGGAAGCCTAGGTTGAGAAGTGAGCAAAGCTGGGACCATGAAAGGCCCTGTGGGCCCAAAGAGGATTTTCAGTTGCTTATTTATTTTCTTCTAAATGTTTAGGAAACAGCGGAACTTTCAGCAAGGGACTAAAGAAACAGAATCGCTAGTCAGGGTCCCCAGATCACTTGGTGTTCTGAAAACCCCCACTATGGTTTACGAAGTCAAGACAGGGCCTAGAAAAGTAGGTGACCATCCTGATGGGTCAAGGCACATGTCCGGAGATCCCAGCACATGCCTGGCCAGGGGTGGGAGACATCCAAGACGCTGTTATTATCTCCCCCATTATCAGTAAGATCAAGCAGAGCACCCCACTTTACAGGTGCGCAGCCGAAAGCTCACAGAAGTAAGGAGCATGCTCAGAGCCCTGAGACACAAGTGGGACCTCATCTTAGGACCCAAGGCCCACTGCGGAGAGTCTCTGAAACTCTGATCTGTGGGGAGACAATCCCTGCGCACTCACCTGAAACCTTGGCTTTTCTCCCTTGCTGGCTTTAGAGAATCACAGAACTACATTTGCATCTCCTATCTGTCCAGCCTAGGCTGGGGGAGCTGGATGGATGGGTGGGTGGGTGGATGGATGGATGGATGGATGGATGGATGGATGGATGGACAGACAGACAGGCAGACTACTGAAATGACTAACCAATAAACCAATGAGTGGGAGGATAAATGAATGGCCTAACAACAAATGAACGAATCTACAAACGGCAAGACTTGTGTAAGCCCCGGAGAGATGCAAGGACATGCTCGCCCAGGGAAAGGCCGGGGGCCATGCTAGCTTCAGACCCAGGTCCCAGCTCACTCCCACACCAGCTTCCCACCTTCGACCAGGCTGGCCTCCATTCCCCAGGGTCACATGCAGACGACCCTTTAGCCCCTGGGACCAACCTATGTCTCCATCTAGTGTGGCCCTTATTCCCCAGCCCCTGAGCCGGCTAGCACCACTCCACAGGGCCCAGTGGGTCTGAGCTCTTCACAGGAGACCAAGGCTCCCGTCTCCAGTCCAGGACCAGACTTGCAGCCAGTGGCTTCCTCTCTCCGAGCCCAGATGACCTCCCAGGACCTTTCCATCTCTGACATTCTTTGGGGTGGGGGTGAGCCTCTGGATTTTTACACAGCCAACGGGGTCAGCAGAAGAATTTCAGACCGAAAACTAGAAGTTGGGAAAGGTCCTGCCCACAGCACCACCCACTTAGGAAAGGCCCACACAGGGAGCCTGCAGGCCTGAGTTAAAGCCCTCCTCTGTCCCTGCTCAACCTCTCCATGCCTCAGTTTCTTAGATTTCAGAACGGGAGTCAACTGTCCCTACCTGAACGTCCGTCCACAACTCAGTTTTGGGGAGAGCCTGACACAGCAACCACATCTGACACTGTGCAAACTGTAAAGTTCAATTTCCTGAAAGATTGGGGTGATAGGGCCTGGGGAAGAGGAAGGGGTGACACTGTCCTCCCATTCCTGTTCAGGTCTGTCTGAAACAAAACATCCTGGTGTCAGAGCTCCCGAAGAGAGAACAGTGGCGGGAACCAAGCGGATCCGGCTGCAGCTCTCTTCTTACTGGGCAGTATACTGTGACTCTGGGCCTCAGTTTCTCCATCTAGAACCTTGTTGGTTCAGAACCCTGTGATCTAGGCAAGCCACACTCTGCAGCTTAACATTCCCAGACCTTGCACCCCTGATTCTGTCCTTAGGGAGAGAGTTCACACAGTCCGGTGCAGCCAGGACACAGATCTAGAGGGAGACTTGAGTGTTTTCCCTCCAGGAAATGGGGGGGGGGCACTAGATAAGCACAAAGGCTCTGAGCACAGCACAGGATCCTCCCTAGGGCAGATTCTCCCAAAAGGGGAAAAGCCCAGGTTCAGATGTTATAGGCCTGGCCTCAGGCCCCCCTGCTGCCGGCAGAGGCAGCAGGTTCGGACCTGTCCAGCCGGACACTTCAGAAACTCAATTGATGTCCAATCAGTAAGACTTCAAAGTGGCAGGCAGGGTGAAGAAAGGGGTTAAGAACACAAACAGAGGACAGGCCCACGTTACAGGGGCCAGGCAACCAGCTACCCCCGTGTGTACTGGGACCCACGGGAGCTGCAGGCCTGCACCTAGCCAAAAACCCACCACCAAGAACATTCATCGCCAGAAGCCATCTCTGGAGGCCAAGAAGGCCACCCATACCTAGAGAGGGTTCTTCAACTGCAGTCAACCAGACTTGCCCCAAGAGGGGGCCTACCAAAACTTCCTGTCCACAAGGGGCTCTGGCCACCCATGAAGGGACAAGCCTCCCTCCACCCCCAACACACACAACTCCTAAAAGAGCCACCCTGCTGGAGGACAGGGTGGTGAGAGAGAAGGGTCATGTCGTCATGACAGGGGTCTTAGCTCCAAACCCTGGGTCCACTCGAAACCCCCAGTGCCAGCCACCTCCCCCAAATCTGGGGTTAAGAGTATAGTTCCTTACAATGCCCCTTGAATAGAAAGCCTCGTCCAAACGATTCCTCCCAAAAACTCTCACCTCAACCCTACACACACACACACACACACACACACTCCCCACCCCCACCCACGCAGCTCTGGGGAAACCGGCAGTTAACTTTTCCAAAAAACCCTGCAAAGGCGGCTAGCAAGGAAAAGAAACAGAGAAATGGGCCCCCACATCCTTTCGCGGCATCTCACGGCCCTCGGGGGAAGAAAAAAAAAAATCTTAAAAAAAAAAAAAAAAAAAAAAAAAAAAAAAGAAAACTTTCAGAGTTAACTTTAAATTCCCAGCCCCCTCCCCCCAAATCACCCAGCAGCTTCTCTCCCCCTTATTTTTCCTTTAAAGTGTAATTGTATTGTGTCTCACCTCCCCGAAAGGCTCCCGGCTCTCTCTAAAGAAAAGGAAAAAAGCCAACCCTTCGGGTGCCCCCTCTGCTTCCAGCCGCCTCTCCCACATTCTCAGACAGTTTTATTAAAATCTTCAGACAAAAGAAAAACAAAAATGGCAGCCTGGCTTATTTTTAAAACAGGACAGGGACGCCATATTCTGCAGATCTGCAAAAAAACGGAGAAATCCGGCACTGGCCGCTCCACCGGGCCGGCTGCAAAGTGCGCGAACCGCGCCGTTTGCAATCCGTTTATTTGCATTAAGCCCCATGAATCATTGTTTACCGGAGAATTGCAGCAGGTTTGAATAGCCCGGCTTAGGAAAACACACACGCACACACTCGGAGCTACATTTGCATCTCCTATCTGTCCAGCCTGGGC